GGAAGTCTACGGGTTACGTCACGGACACTACGTCCATGTTTTTATACAGTCTATGTTTACAATACAACCTGAGTACATGCCGCTGAGGTGAGGGGCGGGACGTTAAGAAGCGCACTAGAGGCGGTTTAGCCAATCACAACACACTGGGCTAGCTAACCAATCAGAGCCCATCGCCTATTTCTGAGGGCGGGGCTTCATAAAAACAGGAAAAGATCAGTCCGTTTCTCAGAGAAGGGACAGAGCGGTGTGGAATAAAGCAGTTTCTAGCCATGCAGCCTTTCTCTCAGGTTTTATGACAGTACCTTTTATGGTTATAGTAGAACATTAAAATATTACAATTTAAAATTGCTCTTTAAAGCATTAAAAACACTAAAAATTTAAATCATAAATAACAGAAAACAGACTACATTTTAACTGATAAGAAAAGATTTGAACTCATCTGAGCTAGTAATTAGGGCTGTATAAGTCAGCTTACATTTGATTTACAGTTACTGCTATCATAAAAATACACTTATGTAGAATTAAAATTCTACAAAAGGCCCATTTAATGTCCAACATAAAATATTTGAGCAGAATGCATATTTTATTCAGAATTATTGCGCTATTATTCTATTGCATACCTGTGACGTGTCCGTTATACACTGAGGACAACACAACGTCTCAAATGCGTTAAACAGCACAAATATAGCTGCTGTTTGCCATGCTGGATCCGTTTGATCCATGATCGACATTAAGGACTGCTTAAGAATAAGCGTGCACATCAAATTATGTTGACTCATTGAACCTGGATCGAATTAAGTGAGATTGCGTGAACTTAAATTGTCGTTTATGAAACCGCTTTAGTCCCGATTGATTTGTTAGGTTATTTCAAGTCAGGTTTTGTACTTTAATCCCCGCTTTGCTTAGCGTCTTTTGTGAAACAGCCCCCTGATGTTGTCTTACGACATGACAACATGTTGCCGTCGTGATTATTTGTCTTTTCCGCTTGACTTGCAGTTCGCAACAGCACAAGCTTGTTTTTGCAAGACGTTTATCATGTTTTCTACAAAAGCGTCTTACGTTTTACGAGGCGTGAGAACGTGAAAAAGCTAGGTCAGACTGAAACGGATTTCCAGGAATGCAATTCGAATAGGATTCCAAACCAAAGGATTCCGTAGGATTTGCACCAAAACCGGATTTGGGCTGACAGTCTGAACGAGGCTTTAGTTTGGGTTTATGTTTTATGTCTGTTAATTATTGTCATCTTAATCGTGACAGAGTGTCCAAACACACAGAAAGTAAAGCTACTGAGATCCATGTGACGTAAAGATGGCGTCTATTAAAGAGGAGAGTGAAGACATTAAGATTGAAGATGCGATCCGTGTGAAACAAGAAGATACCGAGGAACAAACAGGTTGGTTTTTATTCTCAAAGCTGAACGCACTCATTTGATCCTTATTAAAATGTTTCATTCTACAGAAATGAATGATTATTGAAAATTATCCTATGGGTGTTTTTTAATTAAAAAGTGGTTTTATTTGACATGGAGCGGGTGGCCACCACTAATGCTGCCTCCGAGTGCAGCTGAGAGGATCCTACTGCCAGGTTAAGCATTTGTTATTGTGACATCACACATTAATTTAGGAAAAATAATAACACATTAGTGGCCCAAACAAAACAAAAAGTCTCAATTAATTCACTCAGCCCTCCAATACCATTGTCATAATGCGGTCGGCTAGATAGGACTTAACCCATACTAATGCTTGTCCACAAATGCCAGCATATTTTTTAAGCTATTATCCAAGATAATATTGTGTTGCATGTTGCCAAAAGATGTAACATCACTAGATGAGAGATATAACTTTTAGCACATTTTCTGTGCAAAGATGGGGCTTAAAATTTGACTGAAGTGACATAAATACAGTTTCTTTGCAGAATTGGACAGTGACGCTGTGAAACGGAGAACTGAACTGTGAGATGTTACTTTTTTTGGATACAAGCTTTGAAGCCTTGGTGCCAAATATCACATCACTAGTAGCAGGTATTTGCTCAACATGAGCAATGATGTACACAAGTCCATATGATCAAAAACTTGATTGAAAGTTGTGCTGGTGAAGTGTCTAGTAGGTGCTCTAGCCATTACATTTTAAATAATCTAGAGCTTATTTGTTGACAACATTTCTAATGTGAAAGAAGGCTGTTCTATAAATGATGGAAATGTTATTATCAAAGAAGTAATTGCTCTTAGCACAACAACCAGGGGTGTATTCCAGAAAGCAAGGTTAACTTACTATCTACTAAACCCTGAACTCTCGGTTGATTAACCCAAACCTTGCTTATTCGAGGTATGCTGGTTCCAAAAACGCTTCCGGAAGTAAGTTCATTCAACCCAGAGTATGTTCCTGGTTAAGACTCAAGACATTCTCAACAGAGCGATGAATTGACGAGTCGCTATGGAAACGGATGTTATACGAAATACGTTTTAGAAAATGCTGATCTATGATGTGTGAGATGATCATATAAAATGTAATAAATATAATATAATAAATTAAACATTACCTTGTTATAATAGTGTTTTCTAATTTACCTTGTTATAATAGTGTTTTCTAATTTATACAGATAACTATTATATATGCCAATAATATAAATAATAACCGTATTAGAATAATATATTACCTTATATATTATTCTAATATGGTTATTATATTTATTATACTATTCATAGCTTTCAGTCACGTGACCGGCTAGAAGATCTGGGCAAAACATTCATAGAACTGCAGCACAAGCCTGTCAATTTTCCATCTGTTTTCACAGCCGCAAACATTTAGATCACCTCTCAAAAGAATAAAACAATGGTATGTGAACAAAATGCTAGTTTTGGCCATTTGCAATCCATATTAAGCACCCGCGGCAATATTTCAATCATTAAACAGTGCGACAAAACGTTGTAAAAACACTTAAAGTGCCTTAATATATTTAAAACAGTAATATTAAAATATCAAATTCAGTAATCTCTATATTAATGATGTGTAGTGTACATAAGCAAGCAGATGAGGCCGGAATATGAACGCTATCCGCTTAATGGTTCAGTGTTTTCCTTATAATAATTTTCTATGGGATACCACTTGACGTGAAACTTTGCACGTTGCGTTTATATTCGGGCTTCATCTGCTTGCCTGTACAAAATATACATCATCAATAAGGAGTTTACTGAATTTTGCCTTTTAATATCTGCGTTTTACTACATTACTACTTAAAGGTGACATATCATGAAAATCTGATGTTTCCAGGTTGTAAGTGCTATAATCAGGTCCCCGGTGCATCTATCAACCAAGGAAACGTGAAAAAGATTAACCCAGTAACTTTGTTTTGGGAAGTTTTTTCTGCAAGCGTCTGAGAAAACGAGCGCGTCTGATTTCACTCCCCTAGTGACGTGACACGTGTGTTTTTAACGTAAACTTGTGTGTGAAAGAGAACTTAGTTTAGTACTCACATGCTGTGACAGCCGCTTTCTGTGCGTGTGCTTCGGATGTGTGCACTCAGAAAACCGTATATCAGAAGTTTAAACTCATATGGTTTAAAACGCATGATTTCAGAAAAACAGAATGGTCTGACTTCAGTTTTGTGAAAATATACATTAAAAAATATCTGCATGAAACGGAAACATTCATATAAACTCCTACCCCTAAATGAATCGCGATTTGTTTAGCGTGACATATTTGAATCGATTTTCAACGGGCTCGCGGTTAATCGTTACATCCCTAACGTATATTACAGAACTTTATTGTAATAATATATGATATTGTGTGCAATCTGTCACGCCCTCTGGAGTTTTTTATTTTTTTTTTATGTTTTATATGTCTAAACATTTTGTTGTCTGTTGCTTTGTGCCCATTAAACTGGAGTTAACTTGTATTTGTCTCTTTTCACCTTAGATCTGATGCCGCTGAAAGAGGAGAGTGAAGTACTAGATGAAATTAAAGAAAAAGTAACTGATATCGTAACTGAAGAAATATCTGAAAAGACTTCCTCACAAAAAAGTAATTTCACCTGCCAACAGTGTGAAAAGTGTTTCTCTACAAAAAGAAACCTGAAACGCCACATGGACATTCACACTGGAGAGAAGCCTTACGCCTGCCAGCAGTGTGGAAGGTGTTTCAATAAAAAAGGAACCCTTAAAGGTCACATGAGCATTCATACTAGAGAAAAGCCTTACACGTGCCCTCAGTGTGGAAACTGTTTCACCCAGCAAGGAAACTTTAACAGGCACATGAGAGTTCACACTGGAGAGAAGCCTTACACTTGCAAACTGTGTGGAAAGAGCTTTACAACAAAACTAAACCTTAAGGATCATATAAACAGTCACACTGGTGAGACGCCATTTACATGTGATCAGTGTGGAAGGAGCTTCCGATATAAGGTAACCCTTAAAAGGCACATGAAGGTTCACTTAAGAGAGAACAGTTTTATGTGTCATCAGTGTGAAATGAGTTTCTCAGACAGCAAAAACCTTAAGAATCATGTGATAACTCACACTGGAGAGAAACCATACATGTGCCTTCAATGTGGAAAGACTAGCTCAAACAATGCAAACCTTGTTGTTCACATGAGAATTCACACCGGAGAGAAGCCTTTCACCTGCCCTCAGTGTGGAAAGAGCTTCAGATTTATCGGAAACTTTCAGACTCACATTAGAGTTCACACAGGAGAGAGGCCTTACACGTGTCTCGAGTGTGACGAGAGTTTCTCATATCAGAGACATCTGAAACGTCATCTGCTAACTCACTCTGGAAAGGAAGTCTAGTGTTTCGTCAGTGGCCAGAGGTTTACAAAGTAGAGCAATTTCAAAAATAACCTGCGCATTCAGTCTGGAGAATGGCAAATTTCTTGTGAAATAAAATTTATCATCATACAGATACACCTGAAAATCATGCAGACGTGAGACCCTATTCTTGTTATGTGTGTGAAAAGAGTTTTAAATGGCTCTGCAATTTAAAGGGGACCAGAAAATACTAGTGATGCCGATTTTTTTTCTTTCTTTCTTCTTTTGTTTGGAAATAACACCAAGTCTCTTCTGTGCACAAAATATAAACAAATTATTTTAAATTTTGGTTAGTTTTTAACAAAAAACGTAGTTGTTAAAAATAACTACAAATCAATTGCTTAACCGTAACATTTTATTTAAAGTAGTGCTGTCAAACGTTTAATCGCGATTAATCGCATCCAAAATAAGTTTTTGTTTACATGATATATGTGTGTACTGTGCACACACATGCATGTATATATTTAAGAAAAATGTTGTTTATATTTTAAATATTTATTTATAATATAAATTATATAAATATATACATGTAAATAGTTTCGAAATATTGAAACCGTATGTGTGTGTATTTATATATACATAATAAATATACACAGTGCACACCCATATATCATGTAAACAAATCTTTTATTTTGGATGCCAGGCTTAAAGTTCTCCGGCACCGTGCCGGATCTCAACCAAACTAACATTACTAGCCAATCAGACATTTTTGGTCCTATAAACATGAGACACGCATAATAGTATCCAACTACAGAGCGCGACACATTCTGAAAAAGCTGCAAGGCGCAATGGTCCATCTAATTTCCATCTAGAGCCATATTTATATAGAAAAGCTATTTTCTATATAATTAACGGAGCTTTGTAAACAGCTCAGAGTAATCAGGTCATCTCCATAAGAACGATATGATCGGCAGAACAAATTTACCTGTAGTTTTGAAAAGGTCCTGTTCACACATGATCTCTTAACGGCAATTTACCAGTGAAGACTGTATGTGTGAAAGGGGCTAAACTCTTCCTCTGCATATGCGGTGAGTTTGGGTTGCTTAACGTTCATCTGGGAAAACTGTGCGTTATCTCACTTAATTTGTAAACGTCATTTATAAGCCTATGCCAACACAGAATACATCAACATATTTCTAAATATGCGATTTATTGAAGATCGTGATTTCAAAATAAAAGTTTCTGGCTTTGCATATGGCCAAATATGGCAATTAAATGGATTTAAACGTTGTTGAATCACATGGAACATCACCAGGCCGTTGGCGCTCTTGCAGGTATTTGTTATAATATAGGCATATTACATTATGTATTTAACAGTGTTGTTCAATAAAACCATTTACTTGGTTTTGATATTTTATTTGAGCCAATTATTATTGGCTCTTATTATTAACAACCCATGCAAATGGACAGACGATGAATGTGACATGCATTTGCGGAAAGCTGTGCAAGAATCATCGGAGCCTAAAAATCCATCAGGCTAGAATTAAATGTTTGGAGCGGGAGAGTGAGGTGCAACGCACAGGTCTTGAACCTGGTGAGATGCAGGAGGAGCCCGGCCAGGAGGCAACCCCCAGAGCCCAGTCCCTCCACGCACCAGAGCCTCCAAATCCCAGCAGAGTAGTTCAGCAGCGGATTAAATGGCCCCCAGCCAGCAAACGGAGTGAGTGGCTGCAGTTTGATAAGGATGTGTCCAACATCATCCAAGCCACAGCCAAAGGAGATGCTGACAGTCGACTCCAAACGATGACTACCATCATCTTCAGCTATGCCTTGGAAAGATTCGGCCGGGTAGAGAAAGGAAAAACCAAGTCTACCTTTTACACCATGAACCGTAGGGCTACAAAGATACATCATCTGCGTCAGGAGCTTCGCACCCTCAAGAAACAGTACAAGAAAGCTACTGGATGCGTCCCAGTGCATTCATGAGATGTTTCTTGTATAGTTGCCTCATCGTTAGTTTATATATAAATATAGTCACATTAAAGCCTGTTTTTCCACTTAGTTCAGTTTGTATTACTAAAACATACTTGTCATAATAATCAGTAGATTACTTGATTAGCAAAATAATTGTTAGTTAAGCCCTAGATTTGTTAAAACAGTTCAAAATATAACTGCATTGTTCTACTTTTTGTAATTAAAAGACAAATATTTTGTCATTCAAATATTTCTTCAAGTATTAAAACATTTGTCTCGTTCTAGTGAACCAAGTACAGTATATGCATTTTGTCTTATCTCGTGAGCTAAGTTTATTGTCACACCCCTAGTGTTAATAAGCGGTGATATAGCTCATAATTTTCCAAGTGTATGATATAGCTTTCATTCTTCAGGTCAATCATATACTCGTGAAAAAAAAATCAGTTTGAATAAGGAAAGCGATAACTTTGCCATAGTATCCTTTCAAATGTTAAAGTTGCCACAGTCATTGCATTCTTTGCATGTGCTGCACTTTATTTGTATCATTTGTTTTATTAGTTTATATATTAGAATTTGAAAGATCCTCAGCAGTTGCCCAAAGGCTCTGGCTGATGGGCGCTATCGGTGGCGCCATGACCAGGTGCTTAAGGCAATTGCTGAGAGCTTAGCCTCAGCCATCAGCACCAGCAAGTACCATCATGCTCCAAAGAAGGCAGTCCACTTTATTAAAGCTGGAGAGAAACATCGGGTGTGCCCACAATTAACAACAGGCCTCCTCCATAAAGCCTCAGATTGGCAGCTGCAGGTCGACCTGGGAAAACAGCTGAGGTTCCCTCAGCACATTGTAACAACAAGTCTCCGCCCAGACATGATAGTTACCTCCGAGGTTTCAAAACAGCTAATCATGCTGGAACTTACGGTTCCCTGGGAAGAGCGTATTGAGGAAGCAAATGAAAGGAAACGCGCTAAGTACCAGGAATTTTTCACTTTCACTGTTGCGCTCGCGTCTCTTGCATGAAACGCCATTCTAAAAACACTGCGCTCAAGTTAAAAGAAGTTCACTCCCATCTTCTTGCATGTTTTACCTATTCCACCGCCTGCGTCGCATCTTTGTCAACACATAAGCGCATTCTGTGTGAATGACGCCTAGCGCTAAATTGATGGTCCTTCACAGAGCGAGTCACACGTGAGCGGTTACTTCTGTTGTTTTTTCTGCTCAAGTGAAACCGAAAGTAAACAGCTCTGAAGGAAAAGCCCACATTACAGGAAAAGATGTCATGGGTGTGTGTGTGTGTGTGTGTGTGTATGAGAGAGAGAGATTGTTTCTTTGGAATATATTGTGATAATATAATGTGATAAACATTAGCCTACTCGACTCCATTCTTTGTGCTTTCGTTGCTGTTGTTTCCAATCCTGTGGCACTGAAAGGGTTAACGCATAGACCTTGGCCATGTTGAAATCAAAAAGAAAATGAATGCTGCCCAAGAGTTGCAGCACATCAGTTATGATCCCTATATCCATGAAATCCTAAGAAAAGTTAATATGGAAAATTATACCACCGGATGATTCATCTGTGATTGTGCACTCAAACCTTTCTGTACAAGCTTCAATCATATTGGGTTATTTCATTTAGACTGGCTCCAGACTTTACATGCTATTGCCATTCTGTCTTGCAGTTCTACTGTTTGTTTTCGACTTTAGGTGTCTCAGGTTTTGGACTGTTGCACTATTGTCCCTCAGAACTTTCTGTAAAAAAACAAAACACTATTGGGGTTGTATTCATGCATCTTAGTTTCCTTTGCAATACATCAAAGTCGACTCCCACGCTGTATCTATCCAGCGAGCCAATCAGCGCTCCGCAGGTCAGAGATGAAAGCTGTATAGCGGTGTTTGCTAACGGTGTGTGCGTGCCTATAAAGTAAGTAGCAGTCTATTCATCCATTGTTCTCTACTATGTTTATATATGTTTAACTGCTCAGAGTGTGTCCAAGTGCTGTGTTAAGTGTGTATATTTACATACTAGATTCCTCACATATATCACTGTTATGTTTAGATGACATAATCTACTGTATGTGCCATTTATTCGTTATATGGTTGATCTAATATACATTTCTAAGAGTCAAAGCACTTATTTGGCACATGAGCAGCTTCATCTCTGTCCTCCGCGGTGGGAGCTGTCCAATTTCAACTGCAATTTCTTTTGCCTCTTCTGTTATTTAGCAAGAGTGAAACTTGAACGTTTGATTAGCTCAGCTTGTTGCTCAAGTTACAAGGGTTAAATGTAATATTTAAAACCAGCTGCCTAGTTCTTGTTTCCTCAATCTGCATACATCGTTTCAACACAATAACTTCCACCAGGCTTGGAGCTGGTGCAACTCGTCCTCAAAAGCATATTTGTTAAGCTTCTAAAGAATAAAATATTAATCCTGCAAGGAAAAGGAACACTGTGACTTGTTTTTATGACCACATTTGTGTATGAGACACGCCTTCTTTCTGCACATGCTCAGTGCAGTCCTGAGAGACCTTGCACGCAAACCACATCCTGATTCACACAGGATACAAGATCTGCTGTAAGATTGAAGGATTTTACCAAATCAGCTCACCTGTTCAAACGGATCACTTCAAACTCCTAGACAAGCCATGGATTGTGAGAAGAGCAAAGAAGGATGTAAAAACTGCGAAAAGAATTGCAATAACAAATGCCAATGCCATTGTCATACAGTAACCCGAAGTCCTAAACCTAAGCAGAGGACTGAGGAGAAGACGTCGGAAGGGCCTTCAAAATAGTGCGGCTCCTGTGATTGCGGCTACTGTTATTTCGTCCCCTGTGACTGTGTCCCTTGTGATGGTGGCTCTGGTGATGGTGATGCCGGTGATTGCGACCCCTGTGATTGCAACCCCTGTGATTGTGGCCCCTGTGATTGCGGCTCCTGTGATTGTGGCTCCTGTGATTGCGGCTCCTGTGATATTCAGTGAATGTTTGCAGGATGTTGGTCAGACAGGTGAGAAACATTTGTCTCTTTAATGACTGCTTCTAAAAATATGGACATTTTAAAATTTTTCTCCAATTTGATCAAAGTTTTGTGGCTGTTAAATGCGCTCTGAACATTGATCAGTACTTCCACAACATTTATAAATCTTAATGATCATTTCAACATTTACTAATACATATTCAAATTAAAAATTGTGCCAGCATTATCTAGTGCACTGTGAATTAACATGAATAAACACTAACAAAGGTTAATAAATGTAGCTCAAATATATTTTTCATTGTTAGACCACACCAGCTAATGCATGAAT